CTCTCTGAAATCAATTTATAATAATAAAAGCCTAAGGGACCATTATGGTGGAATGACCAGAATGACTGGTCGCTATGATGTGCACCAACCACCTGGGGCAGATGCTCAATGCAGGAGCTACCTCCTGGTGGTCAGTGCATTCCCACAGGGGGAGTGGCCGCTCAGCCAGAAGCTGGGCTCACAGATGGCAAGCTCAGCAGCGGTGGCAGTGCTAAAGAGCAGCAAGTCAAGTGGTAAGGAAGGAGGAGCAGGTGGTAAGGAGCCAGGGATCCTGGATTGTGAGAGGGATGTCTGACTGCACGCTTAGGCCCAAGGGGATCTGGCCTTAGTCTGCAGTCGGACATCCCCTGAGTGGTCCCTGACTGTGAGAGGGTGCAGGCTAGGCTGAGGGACCACCCCTCCCCGCCAAGTGCATGAGTTTCATGCATTGGGCTTCTAGTAAAAATATATTTATAAATAATACAAACTATGCTCAAGATAGAATTATTGAAACTATCCTTTATTCTTCAGTCTGCTTTATAGTCTCTACCCAGTAAATCCCATATTCTGTCATTCAATCTTAAAAAACATCCCTGAAACCTGTCATATATTTTCCAAAACACACATCATCATTTTTCACACACTACCACCAACAAGCTCTTTAAAGATTTCTCCAAGAAAACTCATTGACATTAAAATAAAGTTAAAATTGCTTATATTTCTCAAATGTCACCTCTCATAAATTCTTCAATTCCCCTAGGCATAGGCAAAAGCTCCATCTTCTTTCCTCCCACACTTTATCCACATTACTATGACATTTTTAGCACATTATAGTGAAATGATTTGCTCACCTGTTTACTGGCATGAGCCTACTCCTGTGTATTAATTGTTTTTGTATTTCAAGTGTTTTGAATTATCCTTGGCTTATGGTAGGCTATCAGGATGATTAGATAACTAATAACAATTTATGATCTAAATGTTGAAGATTTTAAAACATCACTAGAAAATTCCTTAGTATAGAAGGAGAAATAAGCCTATTTCAAAACATAAATCCATGGTGATTCTTACTCACTTATTAAAGGATTAAGCATCTAAGATTTATATTGGTATTTTATTCATGTTTAACCTTTAAAGGAATTAGGTTGGCTTCTATGATAATTAAAAAAACAAATGCTATTTCTTAAGGTAATTATAGAGGATAAGGAGGCACTTCAACATTGATGCTGCATGTGGCGCCCTCTGGCAACTTCATATTGTACCATCTGACTGTCATTGAAGCCATGATAAATTGCCTTTTGAAATCAATATTGAGTCTCATTCATTACTTTCTTAGGTTCCATGCTTTATATCAAAAAGACAAATGCCAAGATAAATTTACACTTTGTAAAAAATATTTTTTAAAAGAACTTCAGGACAACATTGGAAAACAAATTTCAAGGACAAGAACTCATAGCTCACATTCCATGTATCAGTATGATGTATCTGTTTATTTTTTACTTCAGAAAGGTACCAATGACAAATTATTAACTTTCTAATACTTTGAAGTTATAATTTAATTTAGCATTAATCATATTTGTGAACTATAACAAAAGGTCTAGAATGTAAAGTTAGTTGGGAAAGATAGTAGATTGTATTACATAAATACATATTTATATTACATGTATGTATTTGTTGTATTTATTTAATTAGATTATATAAAATATGTAATAGTTTTATGGTGTTGTGTATCCAATTATAACATCTACTGAAAGAATTATAAAATTAATTAAAATATTTCTGATTTATTGAAATATTTTAGTATTGGTATAATTCTAATTTTTCAATATTAGCATATTGGTATAATATCAATAATATTTGTGCTTTATCATTTTACAAAGTGTTTTTCATGTTCCAAAACATTTTAAAATAGTTGACAGTGGCAGAAGTTGTACTAGATGGGACTTGTTATTCAAAGTCCAGTATTATTTGCATAATAGAATACTAGGTGGCTCAGAAGTGTACTAAACAGGTGATAGACTGTAATAATACCACTATTATCCTTATTGAAAGAAATATTCTAAAGACCTTCACAAATTAAATTTTATGCTCCATTTGTACACATTAATTTATCAGTAAATTCTCAGCCTTTAATTAGCTTAGTGATTTCTTGTCTAAATTATTTTGTTATTCTTTTTATTTTTTCTTCTTTAAAGTAAAACCAAAATTCTGAAAATGTAGGCAAGGGCCTAATTTGAAAATCAGAAGACTTTAGAACTAGCATTTTTTTCTGGAGGTAAGTTTTAGAGTTTTTTTTCCCTCTATTTTCTTTCTTTTTAATTAAATTTATTGGGGTATCATTGGTTAATAAGATTACACAGGTTTCAACTACACATTTCTATGATACATGATCTCTATAAAACTAGCCTTTTTTACTATTTTTATTGATTTTTTTTTAAATAGAGAGAAAGGGAGAGGGAGAGAGAGAGAAATATAGATGTGAGAAAGAAGCACTGATTGGCTGCCTTCTGCCTGCCACTTACTGGGGATCAAACTCATAACCGGGCATGGGCCCTAACTGAGAATCAAACTGGCAATCTTTTGATGCATAGGATGATGCTCAACCACTGAACCACACCAGGCAGGGCCTAGCATTTTTAATATATTAATAATTATACCTAATTAATACATATTGCATTTCTAGAGAAAATCTATACATAATATTTCCAACCTCACAGAATCCTAGAAAGGAAAACCATTATGACTTATACTCCTTTTTTATATAAAAAAATAAAATAAATTTATACTAAATAATATAGCTAGTTGGTAGTCAAGATAGAACTGAAATCCATGTTCCATATTACCTAATACATGTTCTATTCAACCCCTCTATGTTTATACTTTTGTCTTGTTCATGATCAAAGAAATTTTCACTTTAAAATGAAGTATCTATTAAATAGACCTTTTTATGGTTCCACATGTTTTCTTATTGGTGAAGTAAGATTAAAATTCTGAAGCACAATATTTTCTATTAGCCTGTGTCTGCAACATGAGTTGCCAAAGGAATACATGATGACTGGGGACACAGAATCAACTTTGGAAAATTATAAATGGTCATCAAAAATGTCCCTGAATTCCTACTTCTGCACCTGAACAGGTTTTAATTTTTCATAGACATAGAAGTCTTCCAACATCTATTTAATATATTGTTTTAGTATAGATACAATTACCATTTAATGTGTATATATAAGTATATATAAACATGCTTATCAAAATAAACATAGATATATATACTCTATCATCTATCTATCATCTATCTACCTTTCTACCTATCTATCATCTCTCCTGACTCTTATATCTTGCTATAATCCAAATAAAGTGTAGTTAAGATGCAATTATTTTGAACATGGGAAATTTTTAAGTAAAATGTGATCCAAAGACCTCTTATTACAAAAGTTGAGAAAAAAAAATGAATGTGCACAGCTTTTATTTTATTTTTATTATTTTTTAAATATATTTTATTGATTTTTTACAGAGAGGAAGGGAGAGAAGATAGAGAGTTAGAAACATTGATCAGCTGCCTCCTGCACACCTCCTACTGAGGATGTGCCCGCAACCAAGGTACATGCCCTTGACCGGAATCGAACCTGGGACCCTTCAGTCCACAGGCTGATGCTCTATCCACTGAGCCAAACCGGTTAGGGCAGTGTGCACAGCTTTTAAATGTTAGGGATAGATCTAGAATGCTATCCTTGACATTGGAACTCATTCTGTTGCCACTCTGAGTTTAGTTCATCATATCTACTTTTTTCCTTTTTTTTCTAAAGAAGGAAGACAGTCTTGAAAAATCTTACTAAGAAGATTTAAGAATGAGTCATCAATCTTTCAAGTGAGCATATATAAATATAGATTATTTTAAAAGTTCTAAATTCCAATATCCTCTACAAACTTTATCCCCAAAAGACAGATTATGATAGGTTAAACAGTTGGTAAATGAAAGGTTAAACAAATAATTGATGTAAAATTCTTATTATGTTATATGATGTCAGGCATTAAATTTATTTGCTCCATACTGTAGAATTTAAGGGAAGACAGGGGGGGGAAGGGGTAAGAGATCAACCAAAGGACTTGTACGCATGCATATAAGCATTACTAATGGCCACAGACACTAGGGCGGGGTGGTGAGGGCATGTGCTGGAAGATGGGAGTGGTAAGGGAGCGGTCAATGGGGCAGGGGGGAGATAATATTGTAATAGCTATGTATGGGCTGTGGGGGGGCGGTACTTGAAATATCAGGAGGATTACTCTGTAAAGTATATGATTGTCTAACCACTATGTTGTGCTCCTGAAACTAATACAGAATAATATTGAATGTGAACTATAATTTTTTTAAAAAGATGGAAAATTGTATGTTATATGTTTTTCATCACAATAAAAAATGTATTTACTTCATACTACAGAATTTAATTTTCTCCATATTATATACTTTCTCCTATCTATAAACTATTATACAGGAAAAACTGGTAATGATAACCTTACAGTAATTAAATTCATTATAAACACAATCTATCTTTATTATTAAAGAAAGGAGCCTTTTTAAAAATTCTTACTGCATCTAAGAATTACCTCAAACAATGAATTTCCTTAAATATTGAAACAAAACTTTGAAGATAGAGAAATTCAAAGATTCATTTTGTATTTTTCTTAATCTAAAATGCAGAGCTATGCTTGAGAATATACCACAAATCTACTATCAAATTAAAGATAAAACCTAATTATTATGTTAAAGATTGATTTGATAAACAAATCTTCAGTTATTGGTTGTATGATCTTGATTTTGCTTATCATGTTAGTAAAATAATAGGAGACACTTGAAATCCTTTCCAGTACATACTACAAATAAAAAGTATATAGCTTTCTCTGGATTTGTTATTTTCCCTTCCTCCATCTACCAAAAAAAAAAAAAAAAAAAAAAAAAAAAAAAAAAAAAAAAAAAAGAAGAACAAAGCTTTCCCAACCTGCTCATGAATGCATTCCTCCCCTACCTTGGTAATTGTTTCATGAAGTTTGAAAAAAGGATCCATTTCTTCAATTTTTGTTGCACCTTTAGGGAAAAGGGCCTCGGAGAGAAAACTGGGATCCTGTGGAAAGCAGAATAAAACATTTAAAACTCTTCATTGATTTTGTTTTTCAAGTGCTTATTGGATTTTCTTTAAAGATTCAAAAGGACTCTAAATTGCTTTAAGGTTTCAGTTGATTGTTGGACTTCATTCTACGTATCTGATTAATCAATCACAGAATTTTTTTAAATTAAAATGAGTAGAACCCTATGACATTTGACATTATTTGTATCTATAAAATAATGCTTAATTTTACTCATATGAGATAATTCTTTGAAGTTTTTCCTGTTTTTTGTTTTTGTTTTTTTCATACAGACATATATAGAACACAATACGTTGACTATAAGATCCAAGTCTGAAATCATTTTTTTTATTTTAATACATTAAATTTTGTTTTAAGTGTGGTATAATGGGATGTTTTTAATCAACATGATTATCAAAAAGAAAGGCCACAAAAGTATACATGATATTTTAAACATTTAAAAACTCACTTCAAAAGACTTAATAAGATATATTTTTGGTAGAATGGTCTTATGGCTTTATAGACTATCAGTAAAGTGCTAACGTGATATCAGAACCTTAGTGGTATATGGTTTAAATGAATCAGGAAAACAGTAATTAGTCATTTTATACTTGCAGATGTAGACAAATTTCAAGATGCAAGGAGATCTATGTGGCATGAATATGTATGCCCCCCCAGAAAAAAATTCATATGCTGAAAACCTAATTTCCAAAGTAATGATATTAAGAGATGGGGACCTTTGGGTGGTGATTGGGACATGAGTGTTTTTGCCTTACTATTGGGATTAGTGCCCTTCTACAAGAGGCCCCACAGAGCTCCCTAGCCCCTTGATCCTTGTCTAATCTAATAATAGACAAGCATGGTAATTAACCGTACCTCTGACACGCTTCCCATTGGCTAATCAGGGCAATATGCAAATTACCTGCCAACCAAGATGGTGGCTGGCAGCCAGGCAGCTGAAGTGAACAGGAGGCTTGGTTGCCCCGGCGATGGAGGAAGCCAAGGTACCCCCCCTGCCCGGCTCTGATCTCCTGAAGCAACAGCTCCAAAAGATAAAATGTTTCAATTATAGAAGCCAAAAGATGGCGGTTAATTTGCATACGCAGGCTCCAAGCATTGAGGCAAAGCCAAACAGCCCCAAAGCCGCAGAGCAGCGAGGCCTCACAGCCCCAGGATCAGCAGAACCACAGACCTCCTGGCCCCGTGATCAGCTGAGCGGAGAGGCCTCCCAGCCCCCAGATCAGCGGAGAGGAGAGGCCTCCTGGTCCCGGGATCAGCATCATGGGGGCGGCGCCACAACCCCTGATTGGCCCTGCTCTGTGGGTGACAGGGGGTGGCACCCCAACCCCCTGATTGGCCCTGCTCTGTGGGTGACAGGGAGCAGCACCTCAACCCCCAATAGGCCCTGCTCTGTGGGTGACAGGGGGCGGCACCCCAACCCCTGATCAGCCCTGCTCTGCGTGACAGGGGCAGTGCCCCAACCCCCTGATCGACCCTGCTCTGTGCATGTCAGGGGGCGGTGCCCCAACTACTGGATCGGCCCTGCTCTGTGCATGACAGGGGGGAGCTCCCCAATCCCCTGATCGGCCCTGCTCTGTGTGTGACAGGGTGTGGCACCCCAACTCCCCATGGGCCCTGCTCTGTGTGTGACAGAGGGCAGTACCCCAACCCTCCAATTGGTCCTGCTCTGTGAGTGACAAGAGGCGGTGCCCGACCACCCCCACAATCGGCCCTGCTCTATGCGTGACAGGTTGGGGGCACCACAACCTCCTGATCGGCACTGCCCTGAGTGTGACAGGGGGCTGTGCCGCAACACCCCCCATCAGCCCTGCTCTGTTCCTGACGGGGGCAGCTGCCCAACCCCCTGATCAGCCAGGTCTGTGTGTGACAGGGGGTGGCGCCACAACCTCCCGATCCGCCCTGCTCTGTGTGTGACAGGGGAAGGTGCCCCAACCCCCTGATCTGCCCTGCTCTGTGCATGGCAGGGGATGGCACCACAACCTCCCCATTGGCCCTACCCTGAGCGTGGCTGGGGGTGGCATCGCAACCTCCCAATCCGCCCTGCTCTGTGCATGACAGGGGGCGGTGCCCCAACTCCCTAATCGGCCCTGCTCTGAGCCCAACCAGGGGCTGCGGGGCAGGCACTTAGGGATTGGGCCTGCCCTCTGCCACCCAGAAGCGGGTCTAAGTCAGCAGGTTGTTATCCCCAGACCGTGAGAGGGCACAAGTGGGGTAGAGGGACACCCGCCCACCCGCCAGTCCACAAATTTTTGTGCACCGGGCCTCTAGTCCTATATAATAAAAGAGTAATATGTAAATTGACCCTAACAGCAGAATGACCAGAAACAACTGGTCACTATGATGCTCACTAACCACCAGGGGCAGATGCTCAATGCAGGAGCTGACCCCTGGCTGTCAGCGCACTTCCACAGGGGGAGCAGTGCTCATCCAGAAGCCAGCTCATGGCTGGCCAGGGCAGCAGTGGTTGGTGGGAGCCTCTCCTGCCTCTGCAGCAGCACTAAAGATGTCCTACTAATGGTTAGTAGGAAATCCCCCAAGGGACCCTTAGCGGGATGTCTGACTGTCAGTTTAGGCTCGATCCCCGCAGGAGCAGGCCTAATCTGGCAGGTGAACATCTCTGGAGGGCTCCCAGACTGCAAGAGGGTGCAGGCCAGGCTGAGGGACACCTCTGAGTACACGAATTTTCATGCACTGGGCCTCTAGTACAGATATAATAAGAAATCTGTAACCTGAAACAGGGCCCTCACCTGACCATGTTGGCACTATGATCTTAGACTTCCAGTCTCTAGGACTGTGAGAAATAAACTTATGTTGTTTATAAACCACTCAGTCTGTGATATTTTGTTATAGCAAGCCAAATAGACTAAGATATAAATATAGCTCTTACTTAAAAACCTGAAGTAATTAGGGTTATTTGTCTAAAAAATAGAAAACTTAAGAAAGGATATATGTATGTATATATGATCTGATTAATAGATAGATGATAGATTAGATAGATAGATGATAGATAGATGATAGATAGATAGATGATCTTTCTGATGGCTAACATGAAGAAGAAACATTAAATATAGTCAACACCAACAATGACTACAACAGTATAACAAATTAAGCTGAATTCTGTAGGAGCTATTTATTAGAGCAACCCTATAGCAGAACAGACTGCTTTGGGGTATAACAATGGTGGAAAAGAAAGTTGGGATGATGTAGTTTATAAGCTCTGAAGTCATACAGTTGAGAACATAACTGCAAATCCTATATATTAAATAATTCTGTGATCAGGCATACTCTTCACCCCCTGTTTTGAGCAGTACTGAAATAAAACAAGAGTAATTCAGCTATTTGCTCCAGCATATATTCACTTTGTGAGGATAAGACCATAAATCAACCAAACAGCTTACCTATAATAACTAACATCTTATTTGTCAAAATTGTGTTATGGGTTTTTTTTCCTCATTTTACCTGGCAATCTAAAACTATTTTTTCAAAAACTTCATCTAGTTCCAACGAGTATTTCACTTTTTAATATTTACCATGAAAGCTAGGCAAGAAGCTTGGAACAGATTTCCTTTCCTAACCCTCAAAAGGAACCAACCCTGATAACACTTTGAAATACAGTGGGGCCTTGACTTATGAGTTTAATTCATTCCGTGATGGAGCTCATAACTCAAATTACTCGTATGTCAAATCATAAAGTGAACGAGTGAGACATGTGATGCTGGGCTGATGTTGTGGCGTTCACTGTGACGTTCGCTGCGTCAACTAGCAATGGGGTATCTGAAGCTGGCTCGTAACCCAAATTTTAGCTCGCAACTCAAAGCAAAAAATCAGCCGAGAGACTGCTCGTATCTTGAAAAACTCTTTAGTCAGGACACTCGTAAGTCAAGGCCCCACTGTATTAAAATGATACATTTCTGTGTAAGAGTCATTCAATCTATGGGGACTTTTTATGGCAACGCTTGTAAACCAATGCACTTAGTACAGGTGGTATTCTTCCTTACTGCAATAGGTCTAATAAACTTCATTTTGTTTAGCAACTGGATTTTTGGAAGTGTTTTGATCAATCAACATAAACAGGTTAAAATTTTTGTTTTGCCACTTAATAATTGTCATCTTAATCTTCAAATGATTAGTTACTGAATCTAAGAAATTTGAATGATAATATATATTTCACAGAGATGTGCTCAACTATCCATGCCTGAAACATGGGAGATATTATGTTACCAGCACTTGTGATGTTGCTAAAAACAATAAATTTTTTAATGATGATGATGAGGATGGTGATTATGGTAGGTGAGATGCTGAAATAAAGGAAATTCAAAAACCTTATTTATCTTTTTTTGTTTCTCAGTTTATGTTCATTATTATAAAAACAGATCCAGAGACAGAGAAACATTGATCAGACGGGACAACCTCAGAGGGAAGGTAGGGGAGGGTGGGGGATAAGGAGGAGAGGTCAACCAAAAGACGTGTATGCATGCATATAAGCCTAACCAATGGACACAGACAACAGGGGGGTGAGGGCATGATTGGGGGAGGTGGGGGGTAATGGGGGGAATAAGGACACATATGTAATACCTTAATCAATAAAGAATTAAAAAAAAACCTTATTTATTATCCTATGAGAAATAGTGCACAGATTGCATTTAAATATGTTTATTTTTCAAAATAGTGATATCTTTAAACTAACCTTAATGAAAATATGACATGAATAATTTGTGGCATTCATTGCTATTTAATGATTAAGTTTGAAGTGCTTAAAAAGTTTGCTTCACAAATCGTTTTAAACAAACGTCTTAAAATAAATTTATTAGTTTACTTAGCAAAACAAAACTTCATAATTAGTGCAAAGGTAAAATATCAGCCAGCCCCAAATTAAGTGATCCCATAAAAACATAAATTGGAAGTTATAATTAGTGAGGTTTTTATTGAAATTTCAATTATTCAGTAGCAAACCAATATTAAATTATCCATATATGCC